TTTACTTGAGGTCAACTGAAATATCTTTGTTAGAGTCTGTAGTTTTGGAGTGTCTGACTCCCTCTGAAGAGAGTTGTCCATGTTGTTTTTACCTACAGTAACATTAGTGGCAATGTATGATGTCACACTCTCTGCTTTTCCCTCCCTATTTCATCTGGACTAAGCATTTCACTCCACTCAGTTAACCACTATGGCTGTCAGAGACAGAGAAAGGCATAAGGAAAGAAAAACTGTAAAGGCTGATGTTAATCATCAGGCAGATGCCCCTGTCTTCTACCTTAAGAGTGTGTGTGCGTTCCTGTTTCACATGAGTGTCTTACACAGATTGAGGCTGGCAACTCTTTGAGGGTTGTAAGTGTAGAGAGAGTCCATCACAGCATGTGGTCATAATCCCATTTAGGGGCAACCTCGTTTTTCTGTGTGCTTTTATATGTTTATGTGTGGATGTAAGCGTTTGTATAATCATGTTAATGAATGTATGGTGTAGAGTTTACATCCCTGCTTTCCACCCAAAGTAAACATCCACACACTTACGATACTTTCTACTTTGCCTTTCAGGTTTTTCAGGATGTTAAGTCAATACCCGTAGTAGTATATTTGTAAATTACTATGTATGTTAGTATCAAATATTTAAACTTTCCTTGCAGCTCAGTGGAAGTAATAAAATTAATATTAGTTTCATAAGCCATAATTGCAACTGCTGATGTGCAATTGTCAGTTTTGTTTACAATCATATTCATATTTAAACTGCATTATTTATATGCATGTCTTTATGGTAGCAGTCTTCCTCTGTATGTCGTCACGCAGGATATAAACAAAACATGGACCCACTTGTAAAACGTTTCTCCATAACACTACTAGTGGCCAAAAAATTGAACAGGGTACTTTCAAAGCTACTAAAAATTCAGAAACCCTTTTGTAGCAACAATAGCTATAATTATAGAATAGCATTTTTAGAGAAATAATTTAATGTTATTATAGATAACCATTAAGATTTCTGCAATACTGGACTAGTACCGTCCTGTCTCTTTTTTCAATAAATGCATCCAGGCAATGGATCATTTATCTTAATGGATCAGAAACACAATAGCTCAGCAAGAAAACATGGACTGACTGTAATACTGAGAAAACTGAAAACTTGAAAATCTACAATATTTCAAAAAGTGGCATACAAAGATGTGATACTAATCTGTACTCCTAATGCATCCGTCATATATTTTACAGACCTTTTCCAATGCATGGTACTGGCTCAACTCAACTTGACTCTATTCAACCTTTTTTGGTTTTCCATTGGGCAAAAGTTGTACATTTTACCTGTTACTGTTTTTTTTTTTTTGGTATCATTTCCACCGAGGTTCCAAGCGAGCCGAGTCAATACCAAAAAGGTGACGTGAATACTCAGCAGTTCACTGATTGATCAGACAGATCCTGTTACATTTCTGTTAGTTATTGTACTGTACTTTCAGTATGGAAACCCGCAGAAATTGAGGAGTTGTAGGCGTTTCTCTATTTAGTGTCTCTTTGCTATGCCTCCGTTGTTCATGTGTGTGTCCTGTTGAAGATGACTCCACTATGGCTGCATGTGTCATCGCTATAGTAATGATGCTGCATTGAGGGGGTGCTATCTGCAGTGGGGGAAAAAAGGACCTGGTACCAAAAGAGAGTAGAGTTGATTCAAATTTTTTTTTGTACACAATAGAGCCAAATCTCTCCCACTATATTTATAATGAATTATATTAATTATAAGATATGACTTCATAAAGATCTGTCCATTATGTAGCTGTCATTCTGTCTGGATAAATTGTTTCTTCATAAGTCTGATTGTTTAAAGAAATTGTACATGCTCTCCACATTTTCCCCCTGGGTCATGTGCCCACCACCCCCCTTGCAATGACCCCCCACAGTTTGAGAACCACTGCCCTAGCAAATTAGTGCACTCAGTCCTCTCTTTCTGCTGTGTCTTTGGTGGAACCTCATACTAAACTTGGGCTTGCAACATTGCTCTGTGTGTGTGTGTGTGCGTGCGTGTGTGCGTGTGTGTGCCTGTGCGAATACTTTTCTTCTGCAGATATAGAAGGGACTAACACAGACATGATGTGACCTCTCACCCCCTAACCTTTCTTCTTCTTTGGCTTCACCCTTACACCACCATCCCATCTGTTCTTAACCTCTTCCTCCCTCCCTTGTCAGCTCCTTCTGAACAAACACAGATGATTAATAGAGATTTGAGGAAACATAGGAGAAGCATGGTGCTGGCAGTAGGGTGCCAAGGCAAGATGTACATCTTTGTATTAGTATGTGTGAGGCGCTCATGTTGCATGCGTGTGTGTGTGTGTGTGTGTGTGTGTGTGTGTGTGTGTGTGTGTGTGTGTGTGTGTGTGTGTGTGTGTGTGTGTGTGTGTGTGTGTGTGTGTTATAGGGCAGAGGTAGTGGAAGGAAGGTTGACCACAGAGGCCTTAAATGTTTATCAAGGGACCCCAGGCGGCCTGGGCTGAGCCTCCCTCTTTTCTGATTGGCTTAGGCAGCCTTCCCTCGAGTCTGTGAGCCGGTAATTGGCCGAGAGTGGGAGAGGAATGGGGGAGAAACGTGAACGAGTTGGAGATGAAGCGCCAGCCTTGCCAGGGCTTTCACAGACTCTTTCACATGAGAGAGGGGGAGACTAATGTTGGGATTAACATGAGGCCACATGTTGGAATGGAGGGGCTGTTTGGCTCCCTTTTATAAAACTTTGGTTCCTCAACTGATTAAAGAATGTAAGGCAGTGTGGAAAAAAAAAGGCTAAGAACTTAAATCCTCCCAGAGTCATAAAGGAAACTGGTTTGAAAATGCTCATCAAAGTGTTGTTAAGTTCACCATAATAATGGTGCTTTAGCTTTTGATGAGGGGAGAAGAATTAGATGTTTTCAATTATGATTTTAGAATAAAAGATGATGGGAGAGAAAGACAGATGGGGTCTGAGAGGATCTGAAGACGGATTTGGGCAAAATGTCAGATGTAAAAAAATGAGCAGTGATTGATAATAAAAGGAGCTTTTTAGTGAGGCCAGACAAGCTTGCTGCTTGCTAACATGAATTCTTTCATTATTACACTGGACTTGTATGGCCACTTGAAATACATAAACACACACACACACACACACACACACACACACACACACACACACACACACACACACACACACACACGCACACTGAATGTTTATATTGATGGAAAATTTTGTTGGTCATTGCATTAGTAAAATTTGCATTTGACATTGTGTCCAGTTTTACAAACTTTGAGCAACTTGAATTTTGCAATGAAGTAGATTTTTTTTTCCTGTTTCTATGTGCTTGGTTCAATGTTTTTGTGGTTTATTTATTTTTGCTGTAGTTTCACTTTATGTAGATTTTTCTTTTTTAAAATCTGCAGTAAATCTAATCCAGAGTAAATGAGTGGCTGGCAATCTTACTGTAATTAGGTGCCAGCGTTTGATATATGCTGTTACATGAACACTGATATGAACTTTGCCCAGGGATTTTCTTGCCAGTAAGTCTTGCAAGGCTCCATCCAAGCTTGTTGGTCTTGAAAATGTGCATGAGGTGACTACACTGTTGCTCAGTTGTTGTCACTCTATATAAGTAAATATACTGTGAAATGATCTTTTGGTTTACTATTTCTAGGCCCAAACTCTTTTTTCCCCCCATAATGAGAATTTGATGTGCTGTGTAGCACACTAGTTATATGGCTTTTTTCAGGCCACACCAAAACTGGGGAAAATACTGGCAGTGTTGCCCTCAGAAACATAGCCTCCACGTTTGGGGTTGTTGGCTACCCAGTGAAAAGTTGTGGAGACACAGCTGTAAATAGCCAAGGGTGCGGACAGAAAGTTTGGCCTATATTTAGAGGTTGGACTTGACTGGTAGAACTTGTCCGCCAACACCAGCTTATTGACCGGGAAGAGTTTGTCAGTGTTTTTCTATATCACCGTCCATATGCTTATTATAGTTGTAGGTAGATAGCCTGGGTGAGAGAGAGGCAGTCACCACACTTCTGTGTTAAAGGTTTTGTTGGGAAATTCAAGTCTAGTTTTTAGAAGGGGAGTTAGGCTCAGGGGAAATATGACTGCGTTGGTCTGTGGTACAAATTTTTTGCCAAGAAGCCTTTCTAGATTATCCTGTGTTTTGCTAAACCATGTGATGATGTGATGACACCATAAGCCATAACTACAGCTACTTGTTAATGTGAAATAGTTTTGATTTGGTATTAGAAAATCTTACCACAGATAAACCACGATAGCAACTAGCTGGTGAACATAATGGAAGATTTTAGCGGCTGCTGAGCCTTATGTCTCTCAGGAGTTGGTGGAGACCAAAAACAGAGGTACAAGGAGAGTGTTAAACTTACATTCACAAGGTGGCCATGAATGCTAATGTGGCTCAGTGTCTCCTGTATGTGTACGTAAGCAACTGACTGTTTGCTGACAGTTTTGCCATATTGACTTAAAAGGTGATAATGTGTCATTGTTGTATTCACAGCTTGTTTCTGACACCCCCCAAATGGGCAAATGGAAATGCAGGTTTGATATTACCACATGTGGAGTTGGTGCAATTACTATGTTTCATATATATTTCATACTCAACCTACAGTAGGTATGATTGTATAAAATCATAGCCAATAACAAAATGGTTTTAAGTGGGTATAACTTTTAACACATTTACACAGAAAAACATGCTTCATACATACAACTTCCAACTACCACAGCAGCAAAACCTGGGACGATGATTAATTATTCCCTGTCTCGTGTTGGGTTTCACATACACCGGCTGAAAATAAATGGCAGCCACAGTTTGTGCTCATAGGGCAGAGAGAAAGAAAGAGAGAAAAAGAGAGAGGGAGTCTCAGAGTGAGGGAAGGAGGGTTTTTTTTTTTTCACATGGGCATGTCATCATGGCGTCCAACTGATAATTATAATCACAGTGTCTCTGTCCCTCTCCCATTCTGCCCTCTGTCTCTGTCCTCAGCATCATGGCTGTCTCGTCATCGTCCTCCAATCTCCTGCTCCTTCTCCTAATATCCTCCCTGGATTGGCTGTCCACTCCAGGTTCTGCATTTCTCATAGACCGGCTCGACATAATATCATCAGGTGAGTAACTGGTTTTACTGCTTTGTGTAAAAACTAATAAGCAAGAAAAATAGATTGATATGAGACAAATCATCCTTCAGACAGTTTATCAATTTCTCCTCATTAAACATTAACAAATGTCATTCAGGTTTTGCGCGCAACATTCTGTTGACACTTGTTATCACATCTTATGTCAGACATCAGTTGCAGAATGTTGTGTTTGCTCAGATCCATGTGGAAAGGTTCACCGTTGAGCAAATGCCGCACTTTCCTGGTTTGGCTAGTCAAACAGGCTCGGGATCAATAGAGCCAGGGTAAATATATCGTCGGGACTTCTCTGTCAAAGTCCAGGAACAGGACGATGCAGGATGTTCAGCCAGCTAATCCAGCTGTCACTGAACCATTTGAAATAATTAGGTGAAAGAATGTTGTGGCTGAGGAAACAGGCCAAACTTAAAATTTGAAATAGTGTACCTCTTAAAAATCCCTAAAGCAACAGGGGTCTGAGATAGGAATTTTAAATTCAATTATGATGTCTTTTTCCGCATCGTTTCCACGATTGAGGCTCAGTCTCAAACACACAACTGGCTCAGAGAAGATGATGATGAATTAGTGTCTTCCACTAATGGTCAAAGCATCTGAGGCTAGAATTGGTTGAAAGTGTGCAGCCCTGCAACCTTGGCCAAGACAGTTCTTGTTTATCTAAAGTCTACCTAGGCACATGATTTAGAGAAATTCTCACAGCCAAGATACTGCAACTTCCAAGAAGGGATCAATTCTGCTGTTCACTTTGCCAGAAAATGTCTCCAAACATGTTGCTACTGTTTTTATTTTTAGGCGTCTTTTTAATCTTGCACACCCTGATGTGAAAATGATGTTTCTTTCCTTCAAGTTGAAATGGTGGAAAGTCAGGCAATGCATTTTTTTTTTTTTGGTAAGGATTATTGGACAAAAACATTGAATTAGCAGTTTATCCACATGCCATTGGGTCATTGATTTGATTAAATAACATATAAAATGGTTCAACTAGATGTACCGGTTTTAAAATTCTTTCTTTCTGTCTTTCTGTCGCTGAACATTTTGGCAAGTCACCATTTTACCAGTATATTCTTAGGTGCATCTGCTCATTGCCATTAACAAGTGAGCCAGACAGCAATAGACAGAGACCTGAGAGACCTCCAAACCATCTCTGGGCAGCCTGTCAGGCGGCTGCAGCACCTGTTGCTAGAATGGAAAGCACGCATGTTACCTGGTCAAGCGCTGTGGGAAATTTGGCTGTGTGATATGGGCACTGAATGAGGGCCTATACATGTGGGTTTACTGGGTACATGCACGTGTACTTAGCACATATAAATGATTTCTTAGTATTTTCCATTTGCACTGGTACAAACAAACTTTCTGTACTGATGATCCCATTGAGAGAGATTACATAAATGGCGGGACACATCTAGTTTATATCATTATGGAAAAGCTATGACACATTTAATGCCATTTAAGATTGTAGTGTTTTTTTTTTTTTTTTAGCAGGGTATTTCTGATGTTGGGATTTGACCATAGGACCATGCATATCATTATGTGAATGTGGCACATCCTTACTGATAAGTGATCAGTAGGAGTGTAGAAGCGAGCAAGCGATTATTTTTTCATCAGTAATTTTGCCATATTTCCATGGTGCCCCTGAGCAGCATTATTATTTATGTTGGGGAAATTATTTGCTGCTTCACTAGAGTACTTTTCTTTGAGTGGATTTAGTGAAAAACAGTTCTGTCCTTTGGCATCCTCTGCCAACCTAAGACCAAATCTTCTTCTCTGCTTTTCTGGGGGCGGGGGCTTTGTCTGGGCAGAGATTTTTGCCATCATTAATTCTATATGTTGACTGATAAATGTTGAAGCCTGCAGTGACTTATACAGTCTGCCGCTTTCTCAAACCCAGTGATCAAATGGTTCAGTTTTGGGGAAAATAAACTGCCGATGTGGCACAGAAGTTCAAGAACGTTGGTTCAATTAATATGTGTTCTGAACACATTGTTCTATTGAAGTGTTGAAATAAATTTTGGCCTTTCCAAGCAAAAATCTGTTTGGTGCCAGTGCTGGTAGCCACATTTCTCTGTTTAGCAGGTTTTGGTTGTGAATCAGCCCCACCTCTTCTTTTCTATTGAAGAACCTGTTGAACCTGTGGTATTTCTGTGTGAACAACCTGTATTTAAATTAATTGATTGTGGTCTCAGTCTGGGTGGGTGGGGTGGGGGGCAACAGCCTCTGTAAGGTAAGGGACTTTGTTAGTTTGGTGAAGCTGAGTGAGAATCCCACCTGAGAATCAGAGGTCGTGTCCTGTCAAGATACTGCCACAGTCACGTGACAGCATGTGAAAACAAGGCAAGGCCTACCAGTAATGTGTATAAAACGTTATATTATGAATATGATTTTAATATTCACACAAAACAGCTGATTTCAGCACATTGTCTGATTACATTTTAAGATGCCATGTCATATTAAAAGCACTAGTGTAATACAGATGGGTGTGCCTGCACTCTTCTGTAAATTGGTAAAAGCTCAGAGTTTTGATCTCTGTGCCTTTGCACTCAGGCATTCTGCCTTTGACTTTGTAATTTGCTCACAAACTGCAGCAAATGTCTTTATCTCTGTGGGTTCACATTACCTTTCCGATAAGCTCCCAGACAAACCACGGATAACGTGCTGAGGTCGCACCATCAAACATTCTGACTGGTCCACCTTCAAATGTCAAAATGGTCTCGAGCGAGCTCTGTGGTAATGTTGCCCTGGTCTTCCTCAACAACCGTTGAAACATCTGTAAACACAAAGCACCCACTGATAGCGCGAGCAAACACACGCAGCCTGTGCCTTTCTCAAGTTTACCACTGTACAATCTCTGATCCCGACACCTGTTTTCTCCACTAAAACAGTCTATATCTGACCTTTTACCCACCACTCTTTCTCTCAGATACATCCAGTATGTTGCAGAAATCATTGGATCTTGTTGAGCAGGTCAATAACCCTCAACACTGCGCTTTTGGGATTGTTTAAAATCATTTTGTTGTTTCATTTAAGAGCCTTCCTGGAATTTTGTGGGTTATACTGTTTCTACCGCATTTTTATGTCTGTTGTCAGTCGAGCCACACAACAAGCCAAGAGTAGACTTTTGGAAATGCTCCTATATATTTAAAGGCTTACCAGAGTAATTATAGCCAGTGGCAGCCATTTGTCTTGATCTTGTTCTTTCACACACACACACACACACACACACACACACACACAACACACACACACTTGCTTTTTCTTTCCCCCAGCCTTCCCTGAGTGTCTGCCTGTGTGTCTCAGGAGGACTCGCTCCTCAGGCCCATAGATTGATCCTGTTGTGTGAGGCTGTGTTCTTGGCCACAGAGGTGGTAACCAGTGGTAACCGTGCAGAGGTTTGGTCTGCCTGGCTTGTACACACAATCTACAGTTACATCTGCTTCAAAGACAAGCCGTGGGTGTGTTTGCTCTGAGCAGCGAAATTGAGACCTTGTGTGGGATATGCTGTTTGAAGTTAAGCATAAAGTTGGAAACTTTAAAGGGAAGAGAGAGAATTGCATAGGCCTACTGTGAGATGGTGGGAGGGAGAATACATGGTTGAAGAAATGCTCTGTAATGGAGGGATCGATGCAAAGAAGCAGATCCAGCAGCAGTGTGTAGGCCACATGTCCTTAGCTTAACGAAAGTGAGTTTAAAGGGAAAGTAAATGTAAAAGAGCAAAAGTGAAAGTGAAACTTTCTTAATTAAGAAAGATCAAAAGGACACTTAATTTTTCAATATCAAATTACAAAAAATCTTAACACTACAACCTCATAACCTTGTTCAACAGTATGTCCAGCTGTTCATTCCATATGTCTAGACAGGTATGGTAAATTAATAAAAATGTATGATATTGTTCTTTACTCATATTTTTCAGTGGGTAAAATAATGGGTGAAATGTTTGCCCAACTGGTGATTATGAAACTAACTCCAGCTTGGTGTCTGACCTGCAGTGCAGCAGCATTTTCTTTTTCTCACACATCGGCACCCGACTGTGACTAACTGGGCTCTTTGTCTCTACTATTCCTAACTTAAAAATTTCAGGTTCTTTCGTCTTTCTTCTTTCAAGATTGTGACAATTAGCTTTGATCAGTTACCACAAAGCAGAGTGATGCAATCAATTGATCACCTACCGAGCTGCATCAGACAGATCCTCATCTTGTTATCAGTGTAGTTAGTCAATGATGGTTTCATCAATCACTTCACCCATTTAATGTGCAGCATTTGCTGTGTAATGTAGACTTCTCCACTATTGTTTTTCATAAAGAATTAAATCATTTGTTCACACATTAGCAGAGGCACATTTTATACCTTTCATAAAAATCTCTTGGAAACATCTAGAGAAAGTCCATCACATACAGGTGGAGAAATGTCCAGTTTTTGATCACCTATTGCTCTTAGTTCATTTGACTTTACTCCAGGTGTTTTTCTGTATGCCAGCTGCTTGGAGCCCACACACACAGTCAACTGCATTATACGAACATGGGTTAATGATGAAAAGTAACCATTAGCCCTCTGATTGTTATGGGTGTGTTCTTAAATTTAATCTGGACCAGGCAGAGCATCAATACTGTAAAAATACTGTCAAAGACAAAGTCCTGTAGTAAATCATTTTTTATTACATTTATTTTACATTTCCATCATTACAAAATCAGTCTATAATGGTGATTTGTTCAAAACAATGCTGCTGAAGTTTGCTACTCAAGAATGTAAATGTGAAAAAATAAAGCAGCGTGTTAATTCTGTTCTTAATTTTTTTTTTTCTTACAAAATAACTGATAAGAGTACCTTTAAAATACCGGATTGATAGGCTATATTGGTAAAAAATAGTTGTACTGTTAAAATTTTAACGATACCCAGGAGGTATGTTTTCTAAAGATAGACCCCAAAGGAAACATATAAAGGGAAAATGAAATGGAACTTAATATGGAGCCTTGTGGCACTTC